GAGACTGAATAAATCTTGGTTAACTTAAAAAACACATCACTTTTAGATTAAAAAGAAATGAAGTTTGCTCTTTTTAGTCGGATACTACATCTCGTTTTTTTATTCTTTCTCTTTCTGTTTTGCTTCACATCTTTAGGGGTAGTGTATTTTTGATTCAAAGAATTATACAACTAGTAAGAAATTTTTCTTGAATGTAAATCTATCTTGTACCCTTAGGTGAAATCAAATGATATTAAACACGTGTATACATTCATTACTCTTCCAGTGTTTTTATTAGGGAAGCATTGGCGGCTATCATCAGATTGAAGGATATTTTCAGGATATCATATTTCACGATTTACTTTTCAGAAGCTAATTCCAGTAATATCAGAAAAGAATTCAGGCACTGAGGCAGAGTATAACTCCATATGACAGTGATACGGTACTTTTCACTAGTAACGTTAGGCAAATTTGAGTCTGACCTTGGGCATGGGTTCCTTCAAGTTTACCGATACGCCTTGCCAAAAGCACGAATCTAGATTCAAGACTGCCTATCGGTTGCCTCTAATCGTCTTTCATCACTACAGAGCCCACCGAGATGATGAGTCACCTTGTTTGACGATCATACTACATAAAACCTCACTGACAGAACAGGGTGGGCACCAACGTCAAGGACTAGATGCATGTCAGAGGTCTAAGTCATCCTTCTTCGGTAGCTTGGAAAGGTAGCCAGGTTCTCTTACAATCCACAGGTAGGAACCTTTCTTTCCTTTCTGCCTAACCTTTTGCAATGATGGCGTGGGAATATCTGACACAGTCTCCGAAGCCGTCTTCAGTTCTCGAAGGAATTGCGTACGAGCCTGCTGCCTTTCCAGACTTCAGAAGCTTGATCGGATTCAGGATTTCTGCCTTCGTTGGGGGATCGGTGTCCACTGACAGGCAGTTCTGAGCGTTCTGTCGGTGGTAGTGATATTTCTCGGTGAGTTGCAGGTGATGGTGGATTCGAGAGTTCTTTGAAGTGATCAGCCAATTCACTGTTTCATCTGTTTCAGCTTAGTAATCTCACCTCTTAGCATGTTCCGAAAAACCGACGAGTGAAAGATGTAGAAGTCTTCAATAATGCAACCAGTCGTCAACTATTCTATAGCAGCTACACAATTTACGTTCTAAAATCATTTATTACTGCTGTTGAAGAGGTTATTTCCTGTCTACTAAGTGTCGTTGAAGCTGAAGTGACTGTTATCAACTTTTCCTAAAAATAGTGGGAAAACTTCATTTGATATCGATTTTGTTGCTTTGAGTTTTGAATTTCATTTCACACCCTAATAATTTATATTTTATTTTTATTCATACTAGCAACGACTATTCCACTTCTATTCAACTGATTTGTTTTATCTTTTGGACTTGCTGCAAGCTTATATCTTTGATGTTACATGTGCGATTAATTTTTCATGCTTCCAATTAATGCTCTACTTGCGTTCTTGAGTCATGAATACTCTTATGACCTTTTTGTATATATCTATAGCAAGATGCTTAACAGTACCTGTAATTGTTTTTCTCCCGCCTTTTTTGTCACGCTCAGTTACGAAACATTAACAGCTTCCATCATCTCGGTAATTTACAGACTATGTTGAGTATTTATTTCAATATGGATATTTGGCATAATTTCGATCATATATAGGTGAGAAGATCCAGGTAAATAAATTGATACTGCATCATGATGTTCAATTTGTTATCATCAATTTGTCTGAATCCAAAGCTTTGTAATGGTAGCAGTTGTAGGGACTCAAAAACCATCCTAGCTTTTCAAGAAATTATCTGTAAAGTAAACTGGAGGTTTGAACAACACAGTATTTTGATGTGAATTAATCAGGTGTATTGATTGAAGTTTTCATTTTCAAAGAAACAAAATTGTTGCTTAGCATTTCAGTTTTCGCTTTCATTATCTGGTCTCTTCGTTAATAAGATTTTAGCATATAAAGTAATATCATACTTAGAACCTGCAAAAGTTGTTAATCATAGGGAAATCGATTTTGTTCCTGTTACTTTTCCATAAGTCCGATATTCACAGGGTTTTTTTCTTCCATGGAGTCGTCACTGTTCTCTGCAACTTTCAGTAGTTGTTTCGTATTATGAGTGCTTTATCTAAAAGAGTCAGGAATCATCTCTCGTTGAAACTGAAAGATCACCCTGGGCATTATGGAGTGCTATGAATAAACACATATTTAACACTGACTCTTCAACATATAGGGATAATTCGTTTGAAGTCAAAGTCGAAAGCCTCCCGATAAGGGTATTATCACATATTTCGACTTACTGGAGCCTCACTCACTCATTTAGAAAATCGTAATTTATGTCAACAGACGAAACGCCACCACTCGTTCGTAGTATATCTTAGACATAAACTCCAGTTCAGTTAGCGCTAGTGCTTTGTTATTAATACTTTTTTTGCATATTTGGTGTGACAACAATCAACATTAAGTTTCCTTACTTATCTGATATAATATTGTGAGGTCTCTTTTTCCTGTGGCCTGCCTGTTCTGCTTCAGTCACCAGCCATCTTACCATCCCCCTTCTTTCTTCCTAAAAAAGCTGTACACGTTTCCTTCAATATCACCTTCAGAGATTTCCAGTGTACTTTCACACAGGTTTCCTTGGTAATATCACGCAGTGTCTCTGACTTTGCTCTGGTCTGATCTGTAGTGAAGGCTTTCCCTGCAGTTTTGTCCGTCAGTTTCTGAATGTTGAACTTGAAATGTGGCCTTTCTCCAGCCGTTTTCAGGGATTTTAGCTTCACTTTGAAGGTTCCTTGAACTAGATGATGGTCTCAGCCAATATCTGTATCCAGCGGGCTGCCTCTCCACTACCTTGAGCAACTTTGAGATGGATGAAGTCTATCTGGTTTGCGGTGTGTCCTTTAGGTGAAATCCTTGGTGCTTTAAGTATGTCCTCGTGCTTGTACACACTGTCAACAAAGCGCAGAAGTTTACCATTAATTCACCGTTCTCATTCATTTCATCAAGTCATAGCTTCTCTACCTGTGATTAGTTCCCTTCCTGTATTATCTCTTCCCAGTTCGGCTGTCATTCATATTGCTCATAAGGATTTTGATGTTGCCATTCAGGATGTTTTCCATTACTGTTTATAGTTGTCTGTAAAAAAGCTTCCTTCTCTTGTTTCTCGTCATTTTAACATCATGTATAACATTGGATAAGTGTGGCCTTCCTTCCTTTTGAGTTGAATCTTGCTGTCCTGATCCTGCGGGATGCAGTTGGTTCCCGCTGCATTAGAGCTCCGGCTGCCACTGGTGACATCATTATAGCGACTCACTGCCCCATTGTGCCTGTGGTTGTCGTCTCTGTGACCAGACCAGAGTAAATTACTGACTCTCCAGTTGAAAATTTGGACAATCCACATTCGTTTCGCAAATACCCAGCACCTGAGTGCCATATTTTCTAACTTTTTGGCTACTTGGGTAGCCTTCCCAGTCTCGTACATTGCATGGACGTTCCACTTCCATATTCTTATTCTTGCTCTTATCGAAATAAAACACATCGGCTAACTAGCTTCCGAAAGGCTATCACCAGCCCGCGGTATTTCAGCCCTCCAATTCCTGCGGTGCGTCAGTGGCACAGTGGTTAGGACACTCGCCGACCATGCACATGCTCTGGGGTTCGATTCCCGACTGACTCATTCCTTTACCTCACCAAACCAGTAATAAAAAGTCGATAATGAGGAAAGGTTGGGCATGAGGCTAGCAACCTCATCCTGTAAAAATAAACACTGCTACAGATACTTCACTGGGAATGTGAAGGAAAAAAAGATTCCTGCGAAAAATAAGATTGTTCTTTGAACGTTTTGTATTTTTAATATTTTTTTATTGCTCTTTGAAGTTTCTGAGGCGGTTTGATTGCTTTTGTGGGCTGGAGTTGTTAGCGGCACACCCAACCCTCATTTTGTACCGGTCTCCGGACCTACCTGAAAACTGGCAAGCTAGTAAACCAGGTGAGGTTTCCTTGTTTTCTGATGTCATCAAAATTCAACAGAAAGCCTTATCACGTTAAATCTTACTGTGTATACAAATTTTCATGTATCTACTGTAATGGGACAAAAACTAGTATAATACCACTAAATAAGTTTTCTTTTCTTCTTTTGCAGAAACGAATGCCAGTATAAACTCATTGAAGCAAGAAGAGGAGCGCTTGGCCAAGCTTGCTGTAACGGATGATTAGTTAACTTGTACCTGCAGTTTTTGAACCTTGCTTAATCACAATATACATCTTTCACGGCACTATGCGTTCTTCTTTCTCTGTCCATGACTGTGCGTGATCTTCTGTTACACTACGATAGCATTTACTTTGGAAGAACAGAAAGAAAAGCACATCCCCAATAATTTGTTCACGTAATAAAACGCTTGCACCTCAAGGCAAATATGCTTACAACAGAACGACTGCGAGACATTTGATCAATGCCTATCAACATCGCGAAACCCTTTGAAATTATCAGTTGTCGAAATGGTTTTATTCTCCTCAAGTTTTCAGAAGCAATCTCTATCAAATGCCTGAAATTCGATTAATGTGTCCGGAAAGAAGCAGTAATCAGTCTTCCCTTGCCCTGGTAGGTGGATGTCTTTATTTTGCCCTTAATTTGATCAGTTTATCCTTGAATTTAACCTATCCCTCCTTTTATATATTGTAACATTGCTAGTTTTTTAGTTTCGATGATTTGAGTTGAACTCACTATACTCCTACTGAATTTATTAGTTACTTGTCATCCTACTAACCTTTTGTCCTTATTAGATAGCTCTTTTACCATTGTATGCATACATTTATTTCTGTCTAAACTTGAACTCTGGATTAAACTATATGAGTTTAATTTCCTGTGCACTATTTACTGAGTTTGGACTCTCCTGTCAACTGACATCATGTAACATTTGCAAGTACTTTGAAATTATTCTGTACTTAAACCTAACAATTTCTTCAAACTGCACTCAGTTGATGTGAAGCCAACAAAATAAAGGATGGTACCATTTTATTTTACACAAACTCTTGTTTTTGCTTCATGAAAATTCATAAAGGAGGGAAGAATGCATGAAGATAAAACGTTCTGTTGGATAAATGTTGGACAGTAAAATCAGAGTATGTACAGGAATTGTTTATAGTCACACTTAACATATTTCATTCTGTTGAAATTACTGCAGATAAATAACAAGTATTAATGTACAAAAATAGCAGTTAACATACATCAATATAGCTGTCCTCTGCAACGTGCTTTAAAAGACAGAGATTAATAATATTTAAGTAGTATTTTGTATTATCTTGACATCATATTTTCAAATTTACCTCAGGAAATTCTGTGCGCTAGTCTAAAGGCTAAAAACAAAGCCAACCACTATGATACACCAAAACATTTTTAGGTTACCGTGGATTTGCATGACAGAGTTTCATTCAATTATTACTGTTTCTTTGGGTTCTGAATGGAATATAGGGCTTCAACAGCTCGTCTTCAATTCATTCTGTTTCTTGAAGTCTTATTCAGCTGGTGTCACAATTTTCAAATAAGTTTCATCTCCTATTCATATGATCTCGTCTGTGTTACCCTCGGACCCAAGCCCAACTTGCTGCTTCCCACTGGGGTTCCACTAGAGAGATAGCTTGGAGTGCAACGTCATCCGACGATCCCTTCAGCGTGTCCTACCAATCTCCATTTTCTTCAGCTTATCTTCACTGTCTAGCCAATGAAAGAACCTGTTGATTGAAGAGTGAAGCCCATTTGCAGTGCTTTTCATGACGCGCCAAATTTCTGACACATAGAGAAGGACCGACTTACTTAACACAGGTGTTAGAGATCTGAATCTTCTTGTTTGTACTGACTACAGCAAATTTTCACGCTGATTTCAGAGTGGTATCTTGCTATCCCGATTCTGGTTTTGACATCCTCACCCATTCCGCCTGTAGTTGAAAGGATCCTGACTAGATCAATGAAGGAAGAGACAACATTCAATTTTTTTCCATTGGTAGTTATTAGTGCTTGTTGCTGTTGATTGTTGGTTGATTATCTTAATCATCTCCGTCTTCCCTGTGTTCACTTGAAGTCCTACCTCCACTCTCTGCCTCTTCTGTCAGCTTTTTCGTTTTCACGTGTAGGTCTTCGAGTATCTATGACATTGAGCATGAATCATCTGCGAAATCCAGATCTTCTAAAGTCTTCTTATTGGCCCAGCATATTCATGTCTTCTCACTCCTCACAGTTTAACTCAAAAGGGATAAAAATCGCACTCAACCAGCCTGTAAACATCATGCTGTGGAAAACACAGTTTAAAAAGACATTACTTATATAACCATTAAATGACATTATTAAAGGTACAAGTGTGTATAAATCATATGGGTATATCTACATATACATGAAGTTGAGTTAGATGTCATCATTAATATACAACCAAATTTCAGGCATATTCATACACACTCTCAAACAAATGGCATATGTAAAAACAGTGAACTATGGGAATTCTTAAATGCATTAGTAGAGAATGTGTTTATCACTCTGTGTCGCTTGATATCTTTAAGTCTTGTTTTCACTGTAATTGGATACCAGTTAAACTTTTGATTTCTCGAAGAAAATGGTGTTGCGTAAAACAATAAAAAAGAGAATTTAGTAATATTAGACAAAATTATGTAATTATATAGATGATTAAAAAGGGAAACGAAAAGAAAGGAACAGTCCTCTTATTACACAGATTCTTGTACTGTTATGTAATAAATAAGATCCTCTGGAGTATTTCGAATTATGAACATATTTGATCAGGGAAGAATGATTATGCTATCCGGATAATACAGAGGGATTCACTGAGTTAGACATTCCATTATTATTTCGCCGAGATGACTCTCTTCGAGATGAACTCAATCTTGGCGATGGTTTTTGCCGTTCTTCAGATGTTCTAAATAAAGTTGGTTTGTTTAATTGTGATGACTGGTCATTTGTAGTCGGTTTTGTATCGGTTAGTAGCTTCTGCTGATGAGGATGATGAGAATGAGGTGGATAGTCGAAATTATTATCCAGTCGATCACCATTTGTCAACAAACGATTATGTGATCGACGAGCAAATGATGGAATATTTTCACTGTCATCATTTAAGCCAAGCCTCATTAGTGCTTCACAACGACAACCTAAACGATAGAATAATCCTCTGAATAATTGATGAACACGTAGACGAAAGTTACAACCAGTTGCATAGTAGATAATAAAACCAAATGCATAATGTGACAAAGCGATTTCATCTCCAAATGCCTTGATAGTTATCGTTGTGAAATATCGATTCCAGACTGGATCTTTCAATGCCTTAGAATGAAAGAAAAGAGAAAAAAGTGCAGACGTTTTAAAAATATTAAAATGTACGCTTTGAGTGTTCACTCAATTTAAATTAAGATTTTCTCCCTGAAACTTATACTTGCAGGTTTATTAGATGAATAACGGTTGATTTTCAATGTTTCCTTATCAAATATTTACAAGGTGGGATGATAACTTTGTAGTAACAGGTTCACAAGTATATGCCGAGTAATGCATTTGACAGAATAAAATGAAAGAGGTCACTTCCTTCGCATATCTAAGCAACATGAATTCAACTACAGAAGACAGCATGGATGAGGTTGTCAAAGCCGAAATCGGAATGGCAAAACAGACTTTTATTACTCTGATAACATTTTGGAAATTCGTTGCAGTCAACTTGAAGAACAAAATTCGCATTTTTAACAACATTGTTTAGTAAGTCCTTCAATGTAGGTTAGATAACTGTAACAGGATACTGCAGAATTTTAATAATAGATGCTCCATAGTGAAGATCAAATGGCCAGAAAGAGTTATCTGAGAATAAACCAACAAAGAGCCCATTGATCAATAAATACACCAAAGAAAATGAAGATCGGTCGGATGCATGTTGAGTAAGTGTCACATGCTAAGTCCTCGATTGAGAACCGAATGAAAAATGAAAAATAGTGTGTTGGTCCCAGCATAACACGGAGGAGATAGCGTGGGTAGGAGATGACAGACTATGGGCAATCATGTAGGCAGATGAAGAGGACCACGGAGAAGAGGAAATGGTTTCGTGTTGTTGAAGTCCTATTTTCCACTCGAACCCAAGAGACGATAGTAGTTTTATTAATAATAACTATTATAATCCATTTAAAAAATTAATTCAGAAAATTCACAATGAGAAGATTTTACATTAACATAAAATGCATTGGACAGATTACGTTTGTTAATACTAATAACTGTATTCGTTGGTCAAATACTGTGGAACTAAGCTATTTTTATATTTCAGGTATAAAACAATCGTGAATTTATGTTGTATTCAAGTGTTAGAAAGTTAACTGCTCGTGTATTATTTAGTACCAAGCAAGTTGTGCATCTTTACCCATGCACTTCAGTCTGCTGAAGAGGAAAGGTTAGGTGGGATGCTAACATCCACAAAATATAATATCAACACCACTGCCACTGAAACTTCAATGGTCTACTTGTAGCAAAAGGAATGTCGGAAATAAAGTTTCCAAAACTGATGGTGAGAGGTGTCAGCTAAATTCAATTCCAAACTAAGACGAAACGAATCTTAAACCCGTGGTTTCAGATATTGAAGCGTTATTTACCATGCCAATATGCCATAGAAACGAAATCTTAAGTTCAAGGTTCGACTGGAACATCATTAGTAACTATAATGAAGCATATCTGGCCAGGAAACTCATGAAAAAACAAATATTATTTATTTTACCATTAGCTAACAGATCCGCAAAACATAAATCTGTTGATAGATATTCGTAATACAAATCAAGTGTGATTATGCTTGTAAATATTCCAGGTATCATAGGTTCCGGTTAAACATGGAGTATTCAACGCGGTTTGTAATGTTACCCATTCAAGTGGAATACATAGCAGATATGCTTCATTATTAACGTTAAAACAGCTCGCTATATGAGTCAGCATAAATCAGTATTAGTATTATAAAAACCCTCTTCTAACAGAATGTGATTTTACAATGAACCAAGAAAAAGAATAGAATTTTCAGTTTAAGGTGTATAGGTGGGTGTCAAAATAAGAGATTAAAAATCAACAAAACAATTATCTAGTAATAATTTATAAGGAATTAACTAGTAGATGTTAGCAGCAAGATATAGGTTTTGGAGGAGGGCTGAAAATAATTTACCATGGAATTCAAAGTCAGTTAGTAACAGTTAGCAACAGGCTACCACATAATCAAGGAATTTATAAAGTAATGATGACTAAACGTAATTATATAAGAATACTGAGACGCATACGAATTAATTGAATTAGCTGAGACTGTAATCATAATAGCGTAACAAAGTCTGGAGTTAATTATAAGAGGAGGTAGAACTCTCTCACAGAAGGATACATGTAATATGATAAGTAACTATAAAAGCTTTCACCCAACCAGTGACATGTCCCGCTAGTACGACTTTTACATATAGTAAAGGAAATCGAAATGTATCTGTACAAACCAGACCTATGTGTTTAAAGGAAATTGAGCAGCCCCTTTCTTTGCAGAACGATTTTCCTCTCCCTTCCTTATTATCTTTAGACTTAGTTATTTATTTAGACTATAGTTGTAGCTAATTCAGTTATTGGTATTCTTATGTAATTAAGCTTAGTCATTCTATTCTTCCTAGTCATCATTACTTTATAAATTCCTTGATTATGCCGTAGTCTGTTGCTTACTGATTTTGAATTCCATGGTAAATTATTTTCAACCCTCCTCCAAAACTTAGATATCTTGTTGCTAACATCTACTAGTTAATTCCTTATATATTAATACCAGATAATTGTTTTGGTGAATTTTAACATACCTTAAACTGAAAATTCTCTTCTTTTTCTTGGTTTATTGTAAAATCACATTCTGTTAGAAGGGGGTTGTTATAATACTAATACTGATTTATGCTGACTCATATATCGAGTCATCTTAACGTTAATAATGAAGCATATCTGCTATGTATTCCAATTGAAACGGTAACATTACAAACCACGTTGAATACTCCACGTTTAATCGCAACCTATGATAACCGAAATATTTACAAGCATAATCACACTTGATTTGTATCACGAATATCTATCAACAGATTTATGTTTTGCGGATCGGTTAGCTGATGGTAGAATAAATAATGTAGGTAGAATACTTGGGTGTGAACCCTGGTGGGTGCGTAATCCTTAAGTGTCCCAAACAAGGATGAAACAGCTGTCCAGTGCTTCCAGGTTTTTCAATTGTTCTCAAACCGATTTCAGCTCATGATGAAATTCCTTGTGTAATAAATTAAATCTTTACAAAGCAATACTTGAAAACTGATGAGATGCTTCACAGCGTCTGGTCCTATTCAGGTAGGTAGTTACTTGGGGTTCTTGTAAGACGTTGTGACCAATAGGGTGCAGCAGGTCAGGTTTGAGGATAAATACTCGTCAAAGTCATTGGCCAGCGGTCGCGCTATTTCGTGGATTGGCATGAATTGGAATTCATATGCCACTGGATAGGGTCACAGAGGCTTAGTAGTCTACGTGATCGCCTTGTAACTGGAAGGTCCTGGGTTCGAACCCTGGTAGGTGCGCACTGATGAAGAGTCTCAAAATTAGGACGAAACAGCTGTCCAGTACTCCAGGATTTTTCAATGGTTCTCTAACCAATGTCAGCTCATGATGAAATGCTGTAAGTAATCAATCAACTCCCTATAAACTAATACTTAAATAAAGTTTGTTTAGTTGTTTTCATGAATTTCTCGGCTAGCTACGTTCAGAATGGTATTCTTAACTACATAAATACTAATAATAAACATGTTTATTGTATTGCTGTGTACATTATCGCCTCTTTCACACATATAGTATTCCCTATTTATCCTGTGTTTTACGGAATGGTTTATGAATTCACAGTCGAAAAAATGTCTTTGACGTCAGTCCTATCCGAGAGTGTTGAATGTTGTTCTGTTGACTTACTTATTCGTCACTGAAATAACAATGATGCTTTATTCTAATTTACTGGTCATATTTGTTAGCCAAAAACGAAAAAATAAAATGAAATTCCTTCACACTAATTAATGTAAAAAATTATGCATCTTTTCGAGTCTCATGATTTATGTTCACAATTTATTTTGTAGTAAAACAAAAAACAATTTTTCAGGATTTATTTCACGGATTAGTTTATTGTATTTCGTTCTCATTGGCGATATTCCCCTCCTTTTTTTACTCTGCTTACGTCAATTGTACAGTGAGTAGAGGTGTACTAAAGAAGATCTGTAAAAAAAGCATTCTGGATCCTCGAAATTTTTCAAACTATTTCTTTTTCAAAATTAACTATTTTATAAATATCTTTATAAGGGAAGTAAAAATGATTTATGTTCAGTAATTTCTACTGTGAATAAACGAAACTTTTGTAATCAGCTGTTGAATATGTTTGATCACAGACCGGTTGATTTGCATAAAAGAATAAGCTTAGTAGTTATAGTTGTAGTTAGCCTTATTTGCTACTTTTCATCAGTTCTTTTTTTTCCTGTTTATTGGAAGTTACTCACTTTTCTGTCGTGAAAAGAATTCATTTTTACATAGCTTATTCATTTGTATTTTTTAATAAAATGGAAAAGGTTTCCTATGCAATTCTATACAGCCATTTTGCTAGAACATAGTAGTAGTAATAATATAAATAGTATTAGATCATGTATGTTTTGGTGGCAGCTAGCAGTAGAATCCACGATGAGCATTTCGTCCTGTTTTAGATTCGTCAGTCGGATAAGCCTGCATTCACAGTGAGTAATGTTTTTCTCACTGGGACTTATTTATCTGCATTAAGAGCTGACATTTCAGCAGAGATTGAGTACTTCTCTCTAACATAATCAACCAACGGAAGAGGCAAAATTAATTTAACTGAAAACAAATAAAATAATATCTTGGAGGCTATTTTTATTTGAAGTCACGCTTTCATCATAACATGCCTGGTAATTGCGTTTACATTTATATTCAGAAGTGTAGTTAAATCCCCAGTTATTGGTGATGTGAATTAAATGCTGAGAATTTTAAAGACGACCTGCAATCCTTTATGTACGAGTATCGTTAGAAAGCTTGTTGTTAGCTAACGTCACTACTTTCATCAGTTTCGATGATACTCAACGCCCTAGAAGCTCAGTTGAAGTCAGCTTTTTGAAACCTTGTAATTCATTCATTCTCGGATTATTATTTATTTATCTTACTAAAGCTTGATTCCACACAGTATTTTAGTACAAGTGTGGAATTTTCAGCCTGTGATATCGGAAGCCCGAATTTAGCAGATCAACCATTGATATCA